TAAAATACCCAGCAAAAAGATCTCTGGTTTCCAGTCTATGGGTTGGTTTATTATTTCTTCGATCCATCTTCTTATTGTAGTCCAGGATTTTTTCGCAACTGGGCATGTCCACCATAAATGATAATATGTTCCATATACTTTTTTAAATTTCCATTTATGCTGCGCATTTCATTCAGGGATTTGCTAATATAAATGTAATCATCATCATCATTTTAGCCATTGTCTGCCCACTGCAGGATGAAGACCTCTTCCACATGTTTCCAAACAATACGGCCCTGAGCTTTCTTTTGCCAGTTGGGCCCACAATACTTGCTGATGTCAATGATCCATCTTGTTTTAGGTCTCTTTCAGGGAATATCAATTGGGATCCATTCTATGACTGCCTTGGTCCACCTGCCATGTTTTTCTTGCTATGTGACCAGCCTATTTCCATTTCAAATCTTTTACCCTCTTGATATAACATATACTTTCTTTTGTTCTCTAATCCATATCTATATCTATATCTGTGTGTGTATGTATGTGTGTGTATATATATGTATATATATTATAATCGTAAAATTGGAAGTGTCTTGGCGATGTTTCGACGAAGTCCCATTCGTCATCTTCAGGCTGGTGTTTTCAGCTTCGTGCTTCGAGGAGCAATGTGTGGTCTTAGTCTACAAGAAATCCAATGGCTCCCTAGGACACACCATCTACCAGAAGAAAACACACACAAACCGCTATCTGCACGCTCTCCCACACCACCATCCAGCACAGATCAACTCCGTAGCCAAGACACTCATCTCCAGAACAAAACGCTTAGCTGACGAACAACACCTAAAAACCGAACTACACACTCTCACCAATGTACTAACATCCAATGGATTCCATAGAAATAAGATTACAAACCTAATCCAAAAAGAAACCCCCACTAAAATCCAAGACAAAGAACAAGAAAACGGCAAAGCCCTCCTCCCATACATAAAAGGCACCACAGACAGAATCAGTAAGATCCTCCATAAACACAACATCAAAACAGCATTCTGCACAAACAGAAAAATATCCACCATCCTTAGAAACCCCAAAGATAAAATTGAATTAGAAAATCAAGGAGTATACGAAATCCCATGCACCACTTGTCCCACCACATACATCGGACAAACCAACAGAAGAATAAGTGCACGCATTGAAGAACATAAGAACTCAGTCAAAAAAGAGGAACCAACATCTTCCCTAGTCCAACACCTTAAAGGCACAGGATATGAAATTGACTTTAAAAATACCAGAACCATTGCCAAAAGTGAACATTTTAATAACAGAATAATCAGAGAAGCCATCAAGATAGAAAAACGCCCACACAGCATGAACAAGCGAGGTGATACCTCCCGCCTACCAGCCATTTGGAAACCCCCCTTATTGACAAATGATTCCCTAACACAAAAAATGATACCAGACCCACACTCACAAAAACCACACAAGATGTCACCACCACACATCCACGCAAAAAGCAAACCCAAAGCCACACCGACCACAAACCAGAAGCCAGACCACAGCTGCATCATTAGCCACTTTAAACCCCTCCAATCCATACATGAAACAAACTGACACCCTCCATGAAGATGAGACACAACCACGAACGCGAAGCTAAAAAATAGCAAGGCAGCCCAAAATCTTAAACCCCCCTGCAACTCAGACTAACCCGAGCACAACCAAACAGAACACTCCCCCAGCCAATCAGAGCACAGCCAACCCCCCAGCCAATCAGAGCACAGCCAACCCCCCAGCCAATCAGAGCACAGCCAAGCCCCTAACCAATCAGAACACACCTCCACCCAATCAGAACACAGCCAAGCTCCCACCCAATCAGTTCATACCCCCACTGGCAGTTAAAAGGAAGAAACAGCTAAGACCACACATTGCTCCTCCAAGCACGAAGCTGAAAACACCAGCCTGAAGATGACGAATGGGACTTCGTCGAAACGTCGCCAAGACACTTCCAATTTTACGTGGGAGAAAACCCGAATAACCAAAGACCTACATATACATACATACATACATACATACATACATATATATATATATGCTGGAAAATTTGCATAAAAATACGACTCCTGGGCATGTCTATGGTACAAATAAAATACGAACACCAGGAGAGTATAAATATAAAAATATACTTTACTAAAAGCTGCCAAGCTTTCGTTTGGAAACTCCAAACATCATCAGGGCTAAGGAGCCAGTAAACAATGATGACTTAAATGGGTTTTGCCGGCATCTGCAGCCGGCTCATGGACCGCGTCAGAGATGCCCCCAGGGTGGAAAATGAAAACAAAAAGGGGAGGAGGGTCAGTACTATGGAAGGAAATAAGGATAAAGGGGTGGTGGAGGAGATGAATGCCAGTAATGAGATAGTGGAAGGAACGATCCGGAAGAACCATAGAAGGAAGCGTAAGAAGAGTAATAAAGAAACATCTGGAACACTAATTAGCCGGCCGGGACCGGTGACGCGGTCCATGAGCCGGCTGCAGATGCTGGCAAAACCCATTTAAGTCATCATTGTTTACTGGCTCCTTAGCCCTGATGATGTTTGGAGTTTCCAAACGAAAGCTTGGCAGCTTTTAGTAAAGTATATTTTTATATTTATACTCTCCTGGTGTTCGTATTTTATTTGTACCATATACATATATGGTAATACCAGACCCACACTCACAAAAACCACACAGGATGTCACCACCACACATCCACGCAAAAAGCAAACCCAAAGCCACACCAATGATGAGGCACGACCACAAACCAGAAGCCAGACCACAGCTGCATATTATATTATCATATGAACAAGTAAACTTGAAAAAAAGAGTAATTTATTTTTGATAATGTTCTAATGTGTAATCAAGCACATCCTAGCAAATAGCGTTTTCCACCTGACTATCTTAATGTAAAGATCTTAAAATACATTACTCAGCCTTAAAAATGTACAATATTGTTCGGTCAACAAGTGGCATTCTATTCCTGCTAGAGGTATTACATTTGGGACTTCCCAGGTTCCCTTTATTTGTGGTCAATATAAAACCTGTCCTTCACTTCCTTAAAAACAAGAGCTTTCAACCTACTATGTTGCTATTTAAACTACTGGGCTATGACCTATTCGCAACCAGGCTGTCTGAGTGGTGGGGTGGCAGGCACACATGCACACAGTTCAACTTGCAAAGGCAGTGGGCTGGTGCACACCTGCATGAACATGCACCTTGACTCGCGCAAGTTGAGCTGTGTGCATGTATGCACGTGTGCCAGCCCACTGCTCATGCAAGTTGAACTGTGCGTGCGTGTGGGCCCGCTGCTTGCATGGCCCGATGCAAATGGGCCACAGCCCACTATCGGACTGTGGCCTGGGGACCCATGTTCTATGTTATGTTTTATTTGAATTTCCAGTAGGAGAGATTGAAACTCCTATTCAGAGCCTATTTTAAGGCAAGTTGGATACAAATAAGAGAAACAACATTTTAAAGGTATCAAAAAAAATAATCTAATCAGGAGCAACTTCCATGTGCAACTGAAAAGAAAATGAATTGCTGTTCCTGAGGATTTCAAAGTTACCACATGTTCTCAAAGTTAACCATTAACATATAAACTTGTTAGACTTTCCATACACAAGGAGTCAGATTTAGTGGGATATTATCCAATTCAATAAAGCATTTAAAACTTGACTAAAATTCCTAGCCATAATTATCTGATCCAAGGTGAGAACAAAAAGATATTCAAATCATCCATATAATATGGATGGGATTTTTAAACTTCTATTTATGCCCCCCAAAATTTATATTTATAGAGGCCTAAGTAAGGTTGAAAAACCAATTAAAACTCCAATTATATTGATTTTCAGAGAAATATTAGTTTATCAGAAGTTATGGGACTAATTCTAATTAATAAAATATTGTGATAAACGATCAAACCATTGTACAACATCAATAATTTTTGGCATCAAAGGTACGCTTGATCATGCATGATCTTAGGAAAAGCTATATAATATGTACAACTCATTAATGTATTCTGCTGTTACATTTAACTCAATATTATGCTGCAGTCATTTTTTTAAAAAATATTTATCGGGTCTGAACCATGTTGACATAATTTTACATTGTTTATTAGCCTTTCAGCTGGAAGAACCTAATCTGTAGTGTGTGTAACATTTCTATTACATATAACGAACCAGCATAATCTATCCTGAGATGGGGTATTTTTCATGGTCTTCTTCAAGTAGGGCCAGCACTTGAACCAGTCACCATGTGTTATAGGCCTACTGCCTGAAACAGAAGTCTACTCATGGAGACCTTTTATGTATTACAGAATTTTGGAAAATCAGCACTTCTAATCCCCATGAAAATTCTCCAGATAGACTTTTATTATAGAGCTCTTACATCTAGTGAGCAATGCACAGATAGAACTAGCATACTTGAACCCATTTCCCCTGATAATGGACAGAGCTCTTCACTTCATTTAATACTTATGAACAATGCTTTTTTCCCCCTAAAAATAAAGGTGCCGGAACTCACACACATCATACAACCCGCCTTGTCTACCCTACAAGGTTCCATCCAAAAAAGGTGCTGGAACTCCATTCTGGGCGTTCTATGAGAAAAAAAGCCCTGCTTATGAAGAGAGATAATTATGGCATTAAAGTATGGAAGAGTCTTCCAATTAAGGACATGTAGCTTACTTAAATAGCAGTTAATTAGAAAAACAAATCTTATGGCATTTTAAAAATTAACTTCATAGTCTATCATCATGAAAATGTAAGGATTTTTCAAGGATGGTTTCTGCTTCCTTTTTATTTTGCACACCAATTATTTATGCCTTAACATCTTGCTTTTTTATATTTATTATCTTCACCATTTTTCTCTCTGAATTTTTTTTTAACCATGGAGAACCATTTTAAAAAACCCAAGAAAGCTACGTTCATGCCTATGGCTATAAACCTGAGCTGCTGATAGCTGATTTCATGGCTCATATGTTTAATTCTAGCTTACCCAGAGTCCGGAAAGGTCTTTGATTTGGTGTCTGAGAAAAGAAACCAGGTTTCAGGGCATTTGTGATGATAATGTCAAAAAGGTGTTCAAAATCTTTCCTACAACAACAACAACAACACATTAAAGTGATATTTTCATCTGTCTGAAATAACATTTCAATTATTGTTCTCTCTTGGAGAAAACTGTGACAATATAAACAGTATATTCAGCTAGGGACTAGATATATGCAGGTATATCTTATATGGGTTATCTGCATGCAGTTAATAAATAGCCCAGTCTTTTGAAGGATTTTTTTTAAAATTTAGCGTATGGCGTTGTTATTATATTAGCCAGGAGATTACAATGCTAGTGCAGAGTAGTAGTTTAGCTGCTTGATTACCAGTTCTGTTAGGTACATGTTTGTGCACTTCCTATGGTGTGCCACAGAAGAGACGAGCCAGCTTCACATCAGAAAGAAAGACGAATGGCTTTTCCTGCAGCATCATCCAAGGCCCTTCTCCCCTCCACTGAAGCCACCTCGCAAATGGGTGTCGCAACCAGGAAGGTTCAGTGCTGGCAAGATTCTAACCGCCACACAAAAGCACTAGTTTGTCTCTCCACCAAAGTGGTACCTATTGATCTACTTGCATAGAACATGCTTTTGAATTTCTAGGTGGGCAGAAGCTGAGGCAAGTGACAGGAGATCCCCCTGAAGCAGAGATCATCTCTAGCAATATAAAGCCACTGAGCCTCTGCACCTCGTTTTTGAAGGAACACCTCAGGGAAGTAGTAAAAATTCAACAAAACATGAAATAAATATCCATTTCTAATAAATTATTGCTGTTAATGACATACTAAGAAATCTAGATTAATTAGCTACTAGCAACCAATTAACAAGGCCACATATCTGCCTGTTATATCTGGAAATGAATGCTGTACAAGATTGTACAAATTATATATATGTATTCAACAACTGGACAAACAGCTACTCATCACTAATATAATATACTCTACATGGGGTTGCCCCTCAAAATCATTTGGAAGCTTCAGCTGGTCCATAATGCAATGATGTAGGCAATGATGGTTTGCCGATATGACATCTCTGCTCCATGAGCTGTACTGGTTACTAGATTGCTTCTGGGTGTGTTTTAAGATACTGGTTATTACATATAAAGCTTTACAGGGCATATGACCAGACTGATGGACTAAATGCCCATGGTTTCTGTCCAGCTTTTTGTGCTGGCAAAGTTGGCGTTTGAGGTCGCCTTGATGAAAGAGTATCATCAACCAGGATCTAGGAAGTGTGCCTTTTCTGTCATGATGCCTATTTTTGGAATGAGATCCCCTGAAATGGGCTCCCACCTATGCCACTTGCTTGAAGAATTGTTTTTTCTCCCAGGCTTAGGGCTAAAATGGATCCTTGTTGGGTATATGCATTATTTCCATTCTGTCTTTATGTTGGCCTTCTTTTTGCTTTGTATTGGTTTTTATGGTATTATGTTGTGAACTGCCCACATTCCATTGGAGACGAGCAGTGCCCAAGTTAAAACAAACGTCGTAGTTATTATTGATGTGTTGGTATGTGTGAAAAAAGATTTGCCAAAGGTGGAGATATTTTCTTACTTTGATGTAATTCATAATGTGATCTTATACATTTTATTTATTTATTTATAAATTGTACATGGTTGCCCATCTTAAAATACATAATCCTGGGAGGCTAATGACAAGCCACAAAAAATACATTATAAAGAATCTTAAAAGAGTGACTTAGGTGAGATGGCCAGCCATACAAATTGAATGAATGAATGAATAAATAATTTAATAAATAAAACATAAGTACAAAAACAAAAGTACAATTAAGAACAACCTTAATGTAGCGGTCCCCAAGCTTTTGGGCAGCAGGGACCGGTTTTGTGGAAGACAATTTTTCCACAGATTGGGGGGGGGGGATGGTTTCAGTTTTGTTCACTCGCCTGCTGTCAACTTCAGCTGTGTGGTCTGGTTCCTAACAGGCCAGGGACTGATATGGCCTGGTGGTTGCAGACCCCTGCCTTAATGCATCCATCAAGGTGCCACAGAAACTGCCAAAACAGATACAAATCCCACTGAAGTAAGCCAATAGGTATTCCAGCCAAATAATTGCATATAGGATCTGAGCCCCTATATACTTTCTAGATTGGTCCTGAGTATGGCTGACAATGTTGTATAATATGCAGAATATGGTGTTTGCAGAATGATTACAAAAAAAAAAAAGAAAGGAAAAAAAAGAAGAAGAAAACATCTGGAAAAGATTTTGGGGATTTCCAGAATTCTTTGTGCGGAAAAAGGAAGCAAAATGACTTCTATGAGGCCTTTCTATTCTGATATATTTCTGCTGAATCTGCTCATGAATTTCAATGAAAGCAACCAAAATAGGCCCTAGTATTGAATATTACTTAGATCAGGGCTTTTCAACCAGTGGTACAAGTACCACTTGTGGTGCATTGGCACCTGGCAGGTGGTACATGACCATCCTAGAAAAGTGGTAGCAGGGGAGGGGAATGAGCTAAACCGGTGGCAGCACCGCACAAGCCTGAGCGAGAGACGGCTGGAGCTGCAGGGCTGTCAGGGCTCAGTGGAAGCACCAGGATAAGTGCCAGGCTCCAGCTGGAGCTCGGCGCTGATCCTGGTGCTTCTGCTGAGCCCTGAAGAAGCACCAATCAGCTGGAAAGCAGCACTGATCCTGGTGCTTCTGCTGAGTCCAGAAGAAGCACCGATCAGCTGGAATGTTGCAGCATCTCCAAGGTCTTGTGATTTACATTCAGATGCTTGGCAACTGATTCATATTTATGACGGTCAGTGTCCCAGGGTCATATGAAGTGACCAAAACCTGCTGCAACCACCCAGTGGACGGGAGAATAAAAACCAAACACCCCCCCCACCCCAGCCCTGCTGCCAATCCTCAACAGAAATGCTCACAACAATGAAAACCTCAGACAGGAGGAAGAGCGCGGCCAGGCAGGCAGGCAGGTGTCTTGCTGGGCTGTGGCTTGGGGGGCACTTTTTTCAGTGCCATTGTAACTTCGAACAGTCACTAAAAGAACTGTTGTAAATCGAGGACTACCTATACTTTATCACTTTTTTCCTTTTTGGGGGGGAGTCATCATTGCTAGGCGACTGGTGGTACTTGGATGTTGCTATATCCTAAAAGTGGTACAATGGGTGAAAAAGTTGAAAAGCTCTGACTTAGATTACTAATATGACAGGAGTCAAACTAGTGACCTGTGCTGCCTTCTGAGGAGTTTGTTCTACTTACACAGAAAGAAACAAACAGTTTGGTTTCAAACTTCATATTTAGTATTCAGGTGTAATAGAACTTGATGCCTACTTATAATAATTATCTCATTCTAAAACTCTTTCATACATGTAGAATAAAAGGACATTGGATAGGTTTCTAAACCTCTCCCTCAGGAAGGAGAAAAGTAGCAACCTCAAGCAGTAATATTGTTTGTGGCTTCCAGCCATCCTTACCCGGGTTGAGAGATTTGGAGGAATGCTCCAAATAGCTAACAGATCATGCAAGAAGAAAGATTTCACTATCATGAACTGTTTTTAACTGCTATACTACTAGCAGGCAAAAGAAGTCTGAAGTAACACAGCATTCACTTACCCCAAAGTGTACTCGCATAATAGTCTGCAATAGTCAGAATGAGAGCTGGTAATTAATAGCAGAATCTTTCCACTCTCCTTCAATTTTCTTAACCATTTTTTGACAGAATCAGGACAAGACTGTATATATTTTCCTGGGTTGCTTTTCACTTCAGGAAAGTACATTCCACAGTTTTCTGAAAGGTAGAAAAATAAGGTTATATTGAATATGCCACATGTATGACCTATCAATGTCCAAGAATCTGTTTTTAGCATTTGTTTCAGCATTCACTGCATTCGAACACCACTCAATTAAAAAAAAAAATGTTTTAAGTTTTTAAAAAGCAGCTGAGAGAATTCCTTTGGGAAAGGTATTGAAAGGGAGCTGCCATAAATATTCTGGTGGGCAGATGGAATTTGCATAACTGAGCATTCCTGGTTTGTAGACCTATTAAAGAATCCTAAAAAAAAAAAAAGCAAGGGAATGGAATTTCAGTTTATACTAGGAAAAATACATTGCTGGTCACAAGTATAAAATTATTAATATATTTTCCTTAACCAACTGAATTTAATAAGACACAATCTCAACATTACCTGGATATTGTTCTGTTCCTCCAGAAACCTTCTAATTAGAACAAGAACTGGCATTTCCTTAGCTATTTCTTAACTAAGAAAAACCAGCTACTGTACTCTGGAAGCTCTGCGGTGAGCAGTGGACATCTAATCTGTCAGAAGTATGTTCTTGTGCCTGCAGATTCTTAATTTTTAATTCTAAAAGAAATGTGCACCTCAGAGGAGTATAAACAGTAGGTTCTACCAGTTCCATTGCTGGCTAGGTAATGGAATGTTTATATGTCTTATAAGTGGAAGTCAACAGATCATTGGCAGAATTTTACACGCTTTAAGACAGACACAGGAGATTGAGACATAAACCCCTACATTTCAGAAAATTAATTGCTAGAACAATGTCTATTCACTGGCCTCTTGCCTGTCTCCTAGGATATATTGCTTCCTGTTTCTGTGTGGAAATCCATGTGAGTTGACCTTGGAATTTAGGTTCTAGGAATCTCTTAATTGAAATGGAGGTGTTACTTCCATCTTTCCAAGTTCTTTTACTCTGACTCTCGCAGAGTGATTCACATCCTTCATCATATCTAAGTACTCCATAAGGCAGGCTCTGCCCAGTACAGAACAGAAAGTATGAACATGAGATAATTTTACAACTCTTCCTCAAAACTGAGTACTAAAAATGAATGTATTGACTGAAATTTAATAAACAAACTTATTAAACAACATCATAAAAGAAGGCAACATTTCATGCAAAGTTTCAGTATCCAGCAAGTAAAAGTTCGCATGAAATGGAATGATAAATACAGCAATTCCTACTGACTGATAGGTACTTGAATTAAACTTGGGCAGAATTTCCAACGGCTACACTTTTGACTGCAACTTGCAAACCAAATCAGTTAATATTTCTACACATATTCATCTTTCCCACTAAATATCTGTGGTCAGCTTCCCTGAACCAATTAAGAAACCTTAGACATTACTTTTCCATGTGGAATGTGCCCAATTCTTTTCTGATCAAAAGCAAAATAAAGATTTAAGCTTTGTAATCTTCAATTATTATATAAAAAGGATCAAAGGATCTTGAAACTGTAATATTTTTCAGGAACAATATGGTCTTGGAAGATGTTTCAAAACAGCACCTGGATTTAAATCACTAACTTCAACAGGACAAAACTGCTTGCATCGAAAAGTATTGATAAGTTGTGAACTTTAATAGACCCAGAATTTCCTTGACTAGTCCCTTCCCTTGGATTTGGATACTAGTTCATTAAAAAATTACTTAATTTTGGTAAGGAACTCATAATAAAACCCAGTCTGTTAAATTTAATCTGGCAAAGAAGGAATCACAGATTCTTGGGATACCAACACTGAAGTATTAACTCCCTCTTTGCTGAGGCAGATCAAAGGGATATTCTGTAAGCAGAACAGAGGTGAGGAGAATTAAGTTTGATTCTCCAGATGTAAAGAAGTTTAGTTCCTAAAATGAACTAAACTATCAGCCATATCAGCTGTAGAAAAGGAGCATAATCTAACACAGTAGGTTGCATTTTGTCCTTAAGCCCTTGGCTCCTTTACCCAAATTGTGGAGAAACTGATTTTTTTCCCAAGTGATAAAAGAGGAAAATTCAAGAATTTTCCTATTAGTTATACTTGATTTTGTTTACACTGAGTTACATTTAAATGACATGTTGAAATGCTTGTATTAGCCCCAGCTATTAGTTGGGGAATAGAATTTGCAACACTATTCAAACTCTAAATCCAGTCCTCTCCCTAGTAAAAGTTCAGCATTCCTACATATAAAGAATTGGTCACCATGGGAAAATCCTCAAGTCAAAAAAATCCAGAAAGGAGTCATTACTTCACAAGTGGGAAAGATTTGGCAGAAGTGGCAAATTAGGCCGGTTGTTTTACTTTATGAAATTTAAGATTGTTCTGTCTTGTTCATAACTCATAGATGAAATGATAGATTGGTGGTAGGCTGGCAACCTTAAAATTGCAAGCTAGGCTTCACAATGAAATGTTTATGACTATGCACGCTACTCCCCTCCCTCTTTTCTTGTTAATCTGCCAGTTTCCTTTATTATGAAATCTTTTTAACCGAGTAAATTCTAATCCAAATACAGTGCAAAATGGTAGAACCCAAATACAGTCCTATGAGTTCTAATAACAATGAAACCCCACCGTTTCTCCCCCAGAAAGGATATTATAGTTTTATCTGGAAATGAAATTACTGTCCAGTATAATCTGCCTACTATTTACTTTGGAAGCCTAAAACTTGGTGAAAATAATCAAAGGTATAGATTGAAGCCTAAGATAAGGGGCGTAATACTACTAAGAACTACTTCGAAAACCTGGTTAGCCTGGCCCAGAAAAACGCTTGAATGAATTAAATATTGGGAGGCCCTATTAGAAGTTCTTTACATTGTAAAAAAAGACGGACATAAAACGTGACATTTAATGAAAAGCTAAACATCGCTATAAACAAACAAATAAGAGACATGCCAACTTCTGCTTTAGTTTATAATCATATACTCTACATAGGGTTTTTTTTTTAGGAATTGCAACTAGCCCAAATTATGCTAATATTTTGACTAACTCTGAAAGAAAATAGAGCATATGACACTGTTCTTGCATCAGTTGTTAGTCAATTTGCTTTTGGGTGGAAATCACAGCACTGGTTAGCCTTTACATTCCTAAGAACTTGGAATCACTTTATTCCACATAAATCTGTCTGAGTCATAAAACTGGGAAGTTCTTCCCCTGAACTGCAACTGTCCATATGACCTTCTTTTTTAAATAAGTAAATAAAACTATCTGTACTGTGAACAGCATTATTCCCGATTAACTGTCTCAATCTTCGACTACTCCCTGCATTTTTATAACATTTTTTTTTTGTCAGATTGATCCATTAGCTCAATGTTTTTCAAACTTGATAGTCAGTTTGGTCTAATGGTTAAGGCACCAGACTACAAATTGGGAGACTGTAAGTTCTAGTCCTGACTTAGGTACAAAGCCAGCTGGGTGACCTATAGTATTCCAGTATCTGAAGGGCTGCCACAAAGAAGAGGGGGTCAACTTATTTTCCCATGCACCAGAAGGCAAGACAAGAAACAATGGATGGAAACTAATCAAGGTGAGAAGCAACCTGGAATTAAGAAGAAATTTTCTAACAGTGAGAACAATTAACCAGAGGAATAGCTTGCCTTCAGAAGTTGTGGGTACTTCATCAATGGAGGCTTTTAAGAAGAGACTGGACAGCCACTTGTCTGAAATGGTATGAGGCCTCCTGCTTGAGTAGGCAATTGGAGTAGAAGACCTCCAAGGTCCCTGCCAGCTCTATTCTATTTGAAAACCTTGGGCTAGTCATTCTCTCTTAGCCCTAAGAAGAAAGCGATGGCAAACAACTCCTGAAATCTTGATAAGAAAAGATTAGGGACTTTATCTAGACAGTTGCCAGGAGCCAAAAAACAAACTCAAAGGCAATAGTTATTTATTTATTCTCAAACTTGGCAACTTTAAGATGTGTGGACTTAAGTCCTAGAATTCCTCAGCCATCTTGCACATAAATTTTGATAGAAAAAATTATTTTGTGTAGAAAAGATTTGTGTGCAAAGGAATGTGCACATCACATTCTGTTTAGAGAAAGCTATCTATTTATAAAATAGTTTAAGTGCCTTGGAAAGAAACCTTATAAATCTGATTCCAATGAAGCCCACAGATGATTCCTATTTACCATTCAGCACGACTTTTCCATATCATTCAGTTCCCTTTGGAAAAAGTTACCTCATGTCTGAAGGCACCAGCCAGGCCAAGAGTCTGACTGTCACAACAGGAGGAAGAAGAAGCGCAAATGCAAAAGGCAAAGCCAGAGTTCTCAGCAGCGCTGGCTGCAAGAGCCAGGGTAGCTGCCAATAGCTCTGCCATAGGAAATAGGGACCATCTGGCAGAAGCTTCAAATTGAGCACTCGCACAATAATGAGTAAGCACTAAAGGCTGACCACCTCCGAGATGTTGCAAACTTTCCTCTGCTCAGATATTTGTCTAGTGGGTGGACGTTTATACCATTTTCATTCTAGGCCTACAAACCAAAGGCCAATGAATGCATCCCTCTACTTCACTTTTTCATTCTATCTCTACTATTTATAACTTCTAGGAGACGCAACAAAACAAGGAGCAGCAACAAAAAGTTGGTATTTATATAAAAGGGAACATTCCACAAAGCAGGGGCTACAGCAGAGAAGACCCATATTCCAATTTTGTCAGTCGATATCTTTCCCTGATGGGATCTGCAACATGCCCAATCTTAACAGTATATGGCTGCCTATCTCATATAATGAGCCTAGGCAGCTCACAGTTGATAAAACTTAAGAACTACACCACCAAAGATGCCCGACTAAACACTCCCAGTTCAGCCCCCATCCTAGACAATGCATGGGGTAAGAGTCAAATCTTTGTAGACTTCAGGAAGAATAAAAAAATAGGGATCTCTTCAATCTCAAGTGGCAGGCTGTCCCACTTTATCCTGAATTCTGGCTGTCCAACTATCCTTGACAAATTTACTTTTCTTCCTCCGTGTTTTTAACCACTTCCCTGTAGACTCCAAAAATAATTATTTGGGTGATTCCTG